GAGGGGTTGCGCGGGCCCGTGAGGGGGGCGCGCCTACCCCTTGTGCCCCAGGCCTCTGGGGGAATTTCTTCTGCTCTATCTGCAGAGATCTTGTCCTGTTTCAGAAACTGTTGACATGGATGAAGACACAGAGTATGACAAAGGTAATGTGGTTTAAAAAAGGAAAAAAAAAGAGCCCACAACCCATATGGTTAACCACATTTGAGAATATTAATTTATTTATTTATTTATTTTTCTTTCCCCTCAAGTTGAAGATGTTGTGGGATGCCACGTTGAAGATGCTGTAACATTTTGGGCACAGGTGAACTCTGAGAGCTACTTGTTTTTAACTGAGGTGTTTAATTTTATCCCCACCCCAGCAAGTCTCTGTAGAAGTGAGAATAAATGATAGCATTTGATGTTGAGAGGAAAAAAAAAAAAGTTGATTTAGATTTCAGAATTGTAAGTACTATTGTTCCCTTTTAAACTGAAATCAGTTATTCTTTTCTGACATGTCAGAATTGTTCATCCATCCCTTTGAACTGTAGCTTGGTTTTCTTGAATATTTGGTATGCCAAAGAACAAAACCCTTGAGAGTTAATGACTGAAGAATACGGTAGGAGGTAGTGGAGCCCTGCTGGGAGTGTATTCTCTAATAGCTGAGGATCTGAGGCAATTTGAATGAAGCATGACATGGAGATAATTCAAAGATGCTAGCTCCTTTCTAGTTTCCTCCTAGGCAGGAGGATGTTGGATGCGGAGAGTGAGGGGGGAAAAAAATAAAAAAAGCCCCAAAACCCCTAAAGAGTGAAGAGTTTAATTCAGGAGGTGCAGCAGGCAGAGGGGAAAATCCAGGAATACCAAAGTCCGCTTTTCTTGTTGGATCTGCTGGTTGTATTGGTGTGGGAATGTTAGTCAAGACCTGTGCAGCTTTAAGCCTGTTGAAAGGGGTAATGCTGCTTGTTGTGTCCCATAGGAAGTTGGGGAAGGGGACCAAACTTTACAGACTTTCTGCTTATAGGCTAGGTTATTCCTTCAGGGATTTTTAGATCTAATAGTTATAGGTAATTCTCCTTTATGTTCTTACACTGGCATTCTGGGACTTAGTCACGGCGTGTTGTTTAATATTGGAAGGTAGAAAAGTGAGGAGTGTACTTTTAAGGTTATCAAAATGTTTATTTGCACTAGTGTTTTCTTTCCTGCTCTGAGCTCTAGATCCTGTCCTTTGAATTAGGAGTAGAATGCTGTCTAATAAATGCCCTGTTAACTGGGATTGAGCCAGTCCTACAGTGGTTCGGATACTAAGTTGTAACTGGAAGTACTCGGCTTCTCTTTGGCAAACCAAAACCCAAGTCTTAGATGTAAAGAGAACAAAGAGTATGCCAGAGCTGTTGTCTCCTTATATTAAGGAGAGAAAGAAAAAGAATACCAAATGTGATAAAATTTGTGAGGAAGGATTGGTAAAATCTGCATACTGCTTGCAAAAACTGGTAATTAAACTGTTACAAACATTCCTTGCAAATTGTTTCTCTGGGGTGCGTTACCTGCCCTGATCAGTTCCATTAATTTTTGGACGAAAATGAGATCAGGCTTACAAATGTATCTAAAATAATGAAGATTGAAAGCTTAAGGTGGGGCATTACTTGTCTCAACAGCAGTGCAATTGTTTTCATTTAATTTTTGGCTGTTATAAGCCACCCAGCGTCTATTAAAAGTGACAGTTAATAACTCATACCCTCTCTTTGCACTTCTTAGAATGTCAGTAGATGTAATGAACTCTTGAAATTAAGTTGTGCACTGGCAGAAGCTTGTCCTCAGGCTAATGCAGTTTTTGGCAAACCTAATTTTAGTAAGGTAAGTAGGTTGTGTATATGTGGAGTTTGGTTTTGACCTGGATGTAAAAGCCTTGATTCTATGCAGCCATTTTCTTAGGTATTTTCTTGATCTTTGATTATGCTGTGGGTTATATTCTCTTAAGATCTCTCTAAGAGCTGCTGGTTTTCCTAAAGAAAATGCTTGTTTTTTTGCAAGCAATTTTAAATCTTTCTGCACTTCACACTTCAACTAAACTATGCAACCAGAGGTTATTTTTTAATGCTCAGGACATCCTGTAAGAAGGTAATACACAGAACACTGAACACGTTATGGGTTATGTTTAACGAGATAAGAGCAGTTTTTGTTTCAGAGAAGTGATTCTTTGCTCGATCTCAAGAAGTGTGGAATTATCTTACAAAAACTTGTAGTGCTAAATGTGCTGGACAAGATACTCTTCTTAAGAAGGTAACAAGGACATGTTTAAGAGCATTTCTATGGCAAGCACACAAAGAGTGTGCTTTAGTTTTGTGTGTGAGCTACCAATGGCTTATTGCAATGTAAGGTGTGAATAAAACAGTCTGTCTGAACTGTTTGCACATACAGGTAAATTACTTTCTACGTTCCTTTTCAAAAGGAAGAAAATACACCAAGGCCAAATGCAGCATATTTGTGGTGTGACTGGCCTCTGCCTTTGGTGGGCTTACTAAGCTGTTAGTGTCAATAAAATATTGTAGCAGCACATTTACTGAAAAGCCCTGAGAGTCTCCTGTGTAAAGTGTTGGTGTGTTTCTAGTTGCAGAATTTTGAGCTGTTTTTTTTTGGCCTAGAGGGCTATGTTTATGAAGCATTAGCATATAATGTTGTGAGAGATACGATATCAAATGCATTACTTTGTTTTTATACTGCTGTTTGGAATAATTGCAAGAGACTGTGGAAATAAGATTTGTAATGCATTACAAATACTGTTTAGCGGTATGCTTGTGCTTTCAGAATGCTATTCTTTTTTTTTTTCCCTAATTTCCAGATTTATGGTGGCTGTTTTTCTGAAGATAGGTGTTGGTACAGATGTAAGGTACAGCAAGTGATCGGCAATGAAAAGGCAGGAAACTTTTAAAAGACTTTAATTGTATATCAGTTCTACATGCAGGATAATAGAAAAAATGCAACTCCTCCTCTTCTTGAAGCTTGCTCTGTGAATGCATTTAAAAACAGTGAATATACACATTGGACACAAATTCAAGTGACCTGTAATTTTGACAAATGCTGATGAGAAGAATGGCAAAACATGACATACTTGCAAAGTGCTGTTTTGGTAAAGAGATTGACAATGTAGCCCTTAGAGAAAATGAAAAAACAAACAAACCCCTAAGACCCCTCCCCCCATAAAAAAAACAACAAAAAGCAACCAAACAAAACAAAAAAACCCCCACAACTGCCAGCAAAGATCTGTTTTGTTACTTAAAGTTTTGTTGCTAAGCTTTGACAGGTGACACCATAAGAGATTTCTTTAACTGTTCCTTCTTCTGAAGGGTGCCTAGGCTTTATAGGAAAGATTCTGATTTCTCAACATGCATGTGTGTTAAAATTCTAGAAGGTGTCAGAAGATATTTTGGTAGGAGGTTTGTGTCATCTCTGCTGATCTGTATTATTGTTGCAGTGTCAGGTATTGTACATTGACTATGGAAATTCTGAGGTTCTGAATAGATCAGACATAGTTGAAATTCCACCAAACTTGCAATGTCCAAGTGTTGCCAAGAAGTACAGACTCTGGGGACTGCAGATACCAACTGATCAGAACTTTAACATGTTTGATCAGGTGAGTAACAGATTTTGAAGCATTTAGCTGATGGGATCTGTAGTAGATGCTGCCAAATACCAGCACAGTGTAAGCAGGAGAATTCTTCTAAGAGTTTGATGTTTTACTGTGAAGGCAGGGCCTGCTGACAAGGACTATTTTGATCTGTTGCCCTGAACATGGTCTAGAAACTGAAATGGTTGTGACAAAACCAGTTCAGGTTGTGCAGAGGGGTGATTTTTAGAGTATGCTTTTGCCATCTTCAAAGCCTCAGGTCTGTTTCTGACTGACCCAGGTTCTTTCTGTCCCTGAAGAAACAAAGTACCTCTGTTTGTTTCCCTTCAGAGGGAAGAAATGTCTCCCTTGGTCACAGAACCTGTGATAAATTCACTTACATCTGTAAGCCTTTATGCCATGTGGCTGAATACTATACAGACTTTTGGTCAGAATCATAGAATGTTAGGGGTTGGAAGGAACCTCTGGAGGTTGAGTCCAACCCCCCTGCCAGAGCAGGACCATCTAATCTAGGGCAGGTCACACAGGAATTCCTCCAGATGGGTCTTAAAAGTCCCCAAGGAAAGGGACTTTGAATGTGAGTGGTAGTACAAACCCTGTAGTCCCTGGCCAGCAATGAATGTGAAAAGCTCAGGAGCTGTTGTCAGCAGGACTGGTAAAAGTTTTCAGCCCTTCTGAGCAACACTGGTGACTCTTAGTTGACTTTTACTAGTGGTGGTCTCCCTTTCCGGGACACCACTTTGCAGTTTTAATGGCAGGCTGCTTCAAGGTTTGTCTGCCTGTGCTTCACCAGAACTGGTGCCCTGGGTGCAGCAGTTACTGGAGGAGGAGGCAGGAAGAAGCTGTCCTGCTTGCCTTGTGTTCCTCTGTCATTTAGAGGAGATCCCGAGACCTCTTGTGTATGGTCTCATTCCTGTGGTCCTGTTGACATTGCTTAATCATTGCTTAATGTGATGACTTAAACCAGATTAAAATCTCTGTTCTTAGTTCCATGGGGTTTTGTTTTGTCTGTGTTTTTTTTTTTTTTTTTTTTTCTTTAAAACACCCCTGGCACTTATTGTTGCTTGAGCTAAGGCTTTATTTGCTTGCTCTGTGTGCCTTTCCTGCTTCCAACCTTTCTATTCCTGACTTTCAGCAAAACCAGCTTGTTTTTAGAAGTGTTGGGGCAAAAAGAAAAAAACCAACTTATTAATAAAACTTTCTCCCAGATGTCTTGTGGAGGCCATCAGTGCACTTTTCAGCCTTTCAAAGCTGGTTCCTGGATATTACTGAGGAAACTGGTAGCTGCCAATTATGGCATTTCCCAGTTTCTAACTGAGTAGTTTCAGTAAGGTAGATTTCCATAAAGCAGACACACACAATAATTTGTTGCTATGTACTATTCCAACTTCTTGACCACTTACTGACAGGCTGATAAACAACATAATAGTGAAAAAAAATTATTCATATAATTTTGTATAATACTGCTAGATAGTTGAGTTAGTCCAGTAGCCTCTAAAAGAGTACTGGTGAACCTGGTTGCCAGCTTCTGTTGCGAGTTAATGGGACTTTGAACTTCTGTCACTGGTAACTGACACTAAAGTCTTGAAAGTTGAACACTGAGGGGGAATTACTGGTGTTGGAAGTCCAGTCTGGCATTGACAGTGATTAGATCACATACAGTTTTAGTTGAACAGATTGTTTCTTAATGAATGTGTTTAAATAAAAGCTTTACCTGTACGTCTTTTGTCTTAAACATGTTCCCTTTTTCTTATAAGAAAGATGGCTGATTTCAGCTAAAAGTATTCAGTGTCCAGTACACAACTTAATTGCATTTTTATTTCACAGGGGAAGAAGTTCTTGAGCAGCCTGGTTCTTGAAAAAAAAATAAAAATACGTCAGAAAGCGAAGCACGAAGACGGTACCATTATTGTCCAGGCAGAGGATGAAAAAGTGGATATTGGAGAAAAGATGGCCAAGGCAGGGTTTGCTGAAAAATGCACATCTGCAAGAAACAGTAAAGATGCCAAGGAGGGAAAAGTCGATGTCTTGCAAAGCCAGCGTCGGAAGGTGAAAGCTTCAGTTCCACTGTGGCTGAACAGGCCTAATCCCGCGGCGGGCACCACCCCAAGAGGACAATTTGATGAAGTCCCTGCCAGCACGAGGAGCCAGAGTTTTGCTGGAAACCGCATGTTTCCGCCGAAGTAAGGCAGTGGGATGTCATAGAAAACTTTGTAGCAGTGATCTGGTTTGCTTTGTTGCTGGGATGGGGGTATATTCGAAGATGGAGGGGAAAGCTGAGTACCTAAAATACAAAGTTGAATTTCTGTCCTTCCAGCATCAAGTAGTGCTGGTACTTGATGGCAGGGAAGTATTTGTGAGTCTGAGCGTGTGTGCTGTGGTGGTGGGAATTAGGACATGAGTCTTTAGAAAACTGTTTATTAGAGTTGTTACCAGTTGGATGACTTGTTCTTTGTCACGTGATTTCGCGAGGCAGAATGTTTTTATGCGTCAATGCAAAATTTTGAAAGAGAAGGAAGGGGTAGCAGGTAGTAAGCAGGGAAGATACTGGAAAGCCCAGATGAAAGTGAAGGTTGGAGGACATGGGGCTTCTAGGAAATTTTGCAAGGATGGGCAATGCACTGATACCCGTTTTAGGATGGGTGTGATTTCCATAGGCTTACACTTGAGGCTTTTTGTAGCTATCCCCTATTTATTTACCTCTGTTAAAACCTCACTGGACACAAATGTGGAATGTAAAAGTATACTTAGCTAGCAGGACAAAAATTGTAATGATTTGTTCGTGTAGGAGTGGAACAATGTGTGCTTATAAGAAATAAAGCTGGCAATCATGGTTTGAAGGGGGATTAAGCTTCAGGGGATAATGGTGTCTCTGCAACTTGTAATTACATTGACGAGAGGTGGTGGTAAGTTGGCAATTACAGCTGTTGTCAGAAATCTTTTTAAAGAGACTCGTCTACAGTTGCTAGCATTGCCATGGCAACAGGCTGCTGAGAAAAGCGTTTGTGGGTGGGAAAGATGGTACTCTGCATTCAGAAAGTTGAGATGGTGTTAAGTATGTTCTCCAAAAAAACATTAGGATTTGCTATGTTCCATAATTTGAGCTTCTTGAACATTTTAATTAATCACCTGGGGGCACACCCTTCCACATACCAGCATGGTGTCCAAATATGTTTTACAGTTAGATCATTTAGGCAAGTTAACATGCTGTTAACGAATACTAATAAGAAATTAGGTGGTCTTCAAACAGTCTAAACGTACAGTAAAATGCCTCATCCTGAATTACTTTGATACTCTGATTTGTTTTGTTTTCTGAGTTATAAATATGCTCTGAATCTGATTTTTAAAAAATAAGTAGTATTTTCCTTTTTTTTTTTTTTTTTTTTTTGTGGTGTGTGGTTTTGAGGTGCTTTCATGTACAAAGCTATCCTGGCCGCCCTGATCAGCCAGGAGATTCTCTGTTCTATTGTTCTGGTGTACTTCAGTACTTTGCGTATCACGGGCATTTTTAGGGTGGTGTGTCTGTGGAGGAAATTAAAAAGAAAGAAGGTAGGAAGTAACGAAAGCCATGCAGTCTGGAGTTGATGTGGAGTCAGCAGTGCTCTGGTGCTGTACAGTACTGTCACAGCTGTGACTCCAGCTTCTGTATCCATGCAGAGCATGACCTCTCAGCCTCCTTGGGCAGCATTGGCAATGCTTGGTGGCTTTCTTTAACTTGAACTGAGAGAGGATGACCCATGGGGGTTGGGTGGAGAGGGTAGTTGGTGGCAGTCATACCTTCCAACAAGGATGGGAAAATGGTTTTCTTCCTAACATCAGAAATGTCTTGCTTCTGGTATTGGTCTATCAGATGCAGTGGAGCAAAGCGTGTGCTAGAAACACTCTTCCCTTTTCTTTTTACGGGTCTGTAGCCTGATCTCAGCTGTGCTGGCATGCAAGAGCAGGAAGAGAGGAACATGGATCAGGCTGCCCAGGAGGGCAGTGCTGGAGTACCCAGCCCTGGAGGGGTTTGAAAGCTGTGTAGGTGTGGTGCTGAGGGTTTAGTGGTGGGCTTGGCAGTTTTGAGTTAATGACTGGACTCGTTCTGAAAGCTCTCTTCCAACCAAAATGATTCTATGATTCTGTGATTCTGCTGTGAGACAGATGGCTTCACATCACTCTTCTTCATTATAGAAATAACTTTTAGGATACAGATCCAAAGCACTAACCTTAAAGTGCTTTGGCTTATTTAGTAGATAGAAGATTTGAATTACAGTGGACCTTGACTTTTCTGGGTCTGTTGTGTGGTATCATAAGATGGTTTTTGGATGGGAAAGACTTTGAGCTAGTGACTCTGAAAACGTAGAAAGGGTTGTCTTCAAGTGATGTATTTTTTTCCTTGGTGTTGTGTAACAGTCTTCCTAAAATGGTGTGGAGAGGCATACATGTTCTGAAGAAGTAAAGCACGACTGTGTAGGTGCTTCTGTAATTTTTTTGATGTGATGTTCTGTAGTCATTACTGAAATTACAGTAGCATGAAAGAACGCACAGTGTGGTTTTGTTTAGTTTTTCTTTTTAATTAATTCCTCTTCATGAATTTTTAAAAGGGAGAAAATACTAGCTTCTTCCTCAGTGCCAGATAACAGCTTCACACAAGTAAGAACAGATCAGAGGCTCTCTGAAGAGAAAGAAATTCTGAAAAGGGAGAATGTAAATCTCTTGCACAGACAGAGGGAACTAGAACTGAAGGTTCAACAGCTACAGTGTGAACTTCAGGTAGGTGGAATTGTGAAGAGGGTGCTTCTCTCCTCCTCGGGAACGTTTCTGACAATGCTGCTGTCTTATGGTTTTATTGTACTGCAGTTCAATGAAACCAACTGTGAACTGTTGTTTGGAATACAGAAGGGTTAAACTGGTTGAGTGCAGAGGGGTCTTGCCCCTGTGCGGGGAGGTGCTGGCAGCGTGTGCTAGCACAGGTTTTGAAGTCCAGGTTGGACTCTAGCTCCCCTTGGTGTGTGTGCTGTCTTCCCACCACACTTGGTGCAGCTGCTGGTTTGGGTGTATGTGTTCAGTCTGAATAGGCAGTTTTGCACTTTGTGATTAAAAACATGCTTTTTTATAAGGATGTAATCCTGGCCTTTTTTTTTTAACTTGCTTAGAGGAGAAAAACAGGTTTCGATGTGTTGGGCTGAAAATTCCTTAACATGGTACAGTCAGAGCAGCTGTGGAATTTTACAACTGGATAAAAATGATTATTTCTTTGGTTGCTGCTTAACAGAAAAGATGCTTATGCTTCTTTCCAGGAGAAGTTCCTAGCACCATCTGAGAAGCACAGTACTTAGCATTTTTAAACCTATCAGTAACTATCACTGTGAATGGTTTGAAATGTGATAAAGAGCACGAGTAAGAAGAGATCGTGTGAAAGGATGTTATGTTTCCATGAATTCGGAAGAATGTTGTGCAAACTCTTATCTCTACAGATAGGAAAGGAAAATCTGCTCTTGTGTAAATCCCTTTTATGCCCCCAAACCTGAACTTGCACATAGCTCTTGCCTTTTTCTTTTTTTCAGAGTAAAACTACTCCTAGCTGGTTTTACTACTTGGTTACCTCTACCTAGAACACCCGTGTTTCCACTCATAGGAGTCTGTCATCGCACAGATTCTCCATCTGCTGAAGACAGGGTATCTACACACTTCTGTGCAAACTAAATTAACAAGCAACAGAAAACACATATAGAGCTAATAAAGAATACCTGAATGCAAGGAATTTTTAGAAGCATTTCTTATATATAATCTGATTTCTGAAAATTCTACAAATTTTCATTGCTATTTTGTGTTGTATGGAAGTAACTACTTTAAAAGAAAAAATTGATACTGTGGATATTATTTTAAGTAAGAAGATACTTGCTCCCTGCTGAAAACACTGTAGTAGGCAAAGGCTTGTTTTAGAAGAGTCATCTGTGGTGGTGGCTTCGAGGAATACTTAAAATAAGCACCCTGCCATCATGAGACTTTTGATGCTCCTTTGCAAATACAAACTGTTTAAATCCTTCTATATTTGGGGCTTTGTTTGTTTTTAATATGATAAGTAGTGAGTCTGAAATGCTAGCAGTGTTTAAAGACTGTGTTTCATTACCTAAAGTGAAGTTTATCAAAGCATTGTGTGAGAACAAGAGCTTTTGAATTTAGGTTGCCTGTTGAGAATATAGCCTGATGTGGTGTGTGAGCTTTTTTTGGGCCAAGAATATTCCTTATTTTTCTTCAGGATATTCCTTGTAGGAAGCTCAAGGTGGTTGTGCGTAGAGTGAGTTCTTGTTTTGCAGCACCACTTTGAGGTGTGCCAGTGATAGGAGTAAGGAGTTTAATGTAGTGACTGGGTAGGAGTTGTTTAGCAAGGGAAGAAAAAAATTCGATCTAAAGACTTGCTAGCAGATCGGGAGTAATTGAGAAACACTTGAACACATCACTACTGAAAAGAGAGAAAGGAAATGAACCATTAACCTTTAAGAAACTATTAAAGAAAATAAAGTTATTCTCATTGGTTTGTATGTCTTTCTAGGCATTTTGTTAGTGTTTTGGAGAGGGCCAGCTCTATGTATTTGTGTGTGCATGTGTGTGTTTATCTGTAGCTTTCTGAAAGTCTAAGTTGTGGTCTGATCTGTGTGTTAAGTAACGCTTGCTGACTTTTCTTTACCTCTGTTGAAACACTGCTCCAAAAATTTTAAATAATTCAGAGAGAGAAGGAAGCATCCAGGAAAACTGCTGAAAGCTCTGAGGAAACCCTGCGTACTTACATTGGAACAAAAATGAGAAGTTTGGCTGCTAAGGTGAAGGCACTGAAAGAAGTTAGGTATGTATTTCTTTTCCAAAATAGTACTGTTTATCATTGCCCTCCTTATCTCTTGAAGACATGCATGGTTTTGTTGCCCAGAAGTTTTGTTTTGCTCACTTTCTATGAAAAATGTGTTGTGTACGGAGGAGAGAAGCTCACGCTGGAGTTGCGTGACTGCTTCTCAGTGTTTATCAGATGACTTTGGTTCATCTTCTCTTTCTCCTTTATAATAGCTGTTGCAAGAGGAGCTTTCAATTCCATCCCGAAGGAAGATGTTAATTAGTAAATGGAACTAGTTGTTTAAAGTAACTGCGCAGTCATATTTCCTTGGGTGTCTGTGTTGCTGTGGGAGTTGTATCTCTTTGGGTGGTCCAAATGAACCTTCTAGTTTTAAAAGGAGGGACAAAACAACAGTGGGAAGAAGACTCGAAATAGGAGTGACCATCAGCTCGTTTAAAAAGGAATGAAGATATATATAAACACACATACACATACATATATATAAAAAAATGCATGTGTATGTGTTCTTAGAAGATAAGCTTAAAAAAAAAAAGTTAGGAAGTAGGACAAAAGGTAAATTAAGAGCAGGAGACCATTTCCATGTGCAGCCTCATCAATACCAGGGTATAATGAATGTATTCTTGGTACTTTCTCAAAAAAATATTTAACAGCCGAATGAGACAAATTGCTGTTCCTACCTTTTGAAAGAAACAAGGTTATTAACATGGCAGGTGCTGTCCCAAACATCATATGTTCAAGGGTCATGAATAGCATTGATTCTTAAACTGCTTGATTTCTGGAAAAAAAAACCTTCTTGTAAAATGTTTCTTCCTTACAACTTAGGCAAGCAAATAAGAACGATTGTTTTGAGGAGCAGCTCTCAAAAGCCATACAAGTGGTTACAGAAGAATGTCTCACTGCTCCGCCTTCCTTGGAAAAACTGCAGAAGATTTGGACAGAGTATGACTTGGCTCAAGAGAGAATTCAGTTATGCAGGA